CTGTAGAAGAGTCTAGGCCTGGGGCCTTTGAGAGAGGATATGGGGGAATTCCAATTTATTGGTTTATTCAAATTTCTTTTTTTTGATGTTAGTGCTTTTATCCATAAAAAATTCCATTTCATCTAAGCTTTCAGATATCTTGGCTTATAGTTGTTCCTAAATATTTTCTTATTATTTTCATAATCTCTACTATAGCTATGACTATGTTCCTTTTTTCATCCTTAATATTATATATTTGTGCCTTCTTTATTCCTTGATCAGTCCTGCCACTTTGTCTATTTCATTAAAGTTTTCAAATAAACAGTCGGTTTTGTTGATAATTGCTATTTTAACATTTTTTAGTCCTTCTTGCTTTTATCTTTTCTTCTTTATTAAAAATAAATTTTATTGTTCAATTACAGTTAACATACAATATTATATTAGTTTCAGGTGCACAACAGTGATTAGACATTTATATCAATCACGAAGTGATCTAGTATCATGATAAATCTAGTATCTATCTGACATAGTTATTACAATATACTGACTATATTCTTTATGCTATACTTTACATCCCATGACTATTTTTTGCTTTTTATTACTTCCAGGTATACAAAGCTACATAATAAAGTATATTTCTCCTACTTTCTTTGGATTTATTCTGTTATACTATTCAAGCTACCTAAATCCTTATTTATTTTTAACCTAGATGATATGCCAGAGACTAACAGAGGTATATTAAAATTTTTCACAATCACTGTAACTTTATTAAAGTTTTTTACATTTCTGCAGTTTTTATTTAATTTATTCATGCTATGTTATTTGGCACATAAAGTTTTACTGTGGCTTGACATTTTATTAATATACAAGAATCCTCTTTTTCATTTCCTTATGAGATGTGGGAGAAGCTCTCTAATTTATCTTATAATAAACTGATTTCATTTTTCTGTGGTTTACCATCTTCTGTTCATTGCCTCTGTTCCATTTTTTTAATTGGATGATCACATTTTTCATCTCTATTCAATCTTTCCTCATCTCAGATTGCTGTTTTCATTATTGCCTATTTTTTGTGTCATAACTATAATAGTCTCTCGAACCTTGTTAAGAATACAAATTAGGAGCTTTTAAAGTTTTCTTTTTTCTTTGTTGCTTAGAGAGGGGCAATTAGTCTTGACTCCTCAGACAGGTCCCCTTCTTCTGATCTACTGAATATTTACACATACCAGTTAATTTTCCTGTTGGCACACCATTTCAAAGGAGGAATAAAAATGGAGAATGGAAATAGCCAGTAGTCTCTAAGGACGAGCAGAAGAGTTAAGCCAGAAGAGGTCGTAACAGGAGATTCTCCTGCTATTGGTGCTACAGTGTGCGTGTGTGTGTGTGTGTGTGTGTGTGTGTGTGTGTG